CCTTCAGAGCAATGAACTGTACCAAATTGTAAGCCCAGAAAAACACACACTGGCCAAAAGAATGCATAGAACAAGAACATACAATGCAGATAATATTATGCAAGTTGGACACAATAGATCAAGATGCATAAATGTGTGCCTGTTTTATAAGAATATACCGAGTTCTTCATTTTATGCCACTCTTCTGTGTTCCATGTCTCTGTCACAGTAATAGTATATATTAGGGTAGTACAGATTCTTCAAAAGATGTTTTTTGCAAAGCATGGGAGCAGGAATGAAGCACCTCTCTTCAGATCCTTAAAACAGCTGCATCTTTTGCATTTTAGAAACTGTTGTCAGCTGTCCCTGCATACGTGTGCATGTGCACGCACAGCTTCTTTGGTTTGCTTTCTTCCCGGCAAAATTATTATCGTATAGTATATTATCCTGGTTAAAAGATCAGAGTAGAAGTACAGCTGTAAAAATTCTGAAATAATAAAAAACTGAGTTGGGGGTTGAAACTAGATTTTGGGTTCACTAGAAATATTTATATTTTTTAAAAAGTATCCTTTATACATGAATGGATGCTGATATGTCTATTCCTTTCCAGCGCTTTAAGACGTAATGGAAGACAGAAAGAAATTGACCAATTTCAGCTCACATGCCAACAATTTTTTTGCATGAAAATAAATGTTAGTCCCACTGGAGGGAGGAATGTATTTTCTTCCTAACAGAGAGATAAACTTTGTCTACAGAAACTATAATTAGTTGACACTCTATATAATTCTTCATACAATATAGCTTAAAAAACATTTTGGAGTATATGAGGGACAGAAGTTGTTCCTTAATGCTAGCCGTGGTGGAAATACTACTCATTTGTCTCCAGCAAATTCTGCCTGTTTCCATTATTATTAGGGAGATCAGCTCATCCCTTTTCACACTCTGAATCTATTGCTGCAAGGCAGAAGAGCAAATGTGATAACAGCATTAAAGTTTTTTGATGTTTGAAAATCCAGACTTTAGGAAACCCCAGACACATGATTTATCACACGCTCTATTGTAGGTAGAAATAGTATGTGAAAGGCTTTGTTAATATATTTGAACTGGTTATGTTAGGATTCAAAAATGCTAGACATCTTAAGAATACTTGTGACTGTGAAGTAAGATGCAGAATTCCCCAAAAATGAAATCCACAAAGCTTTTAAGGTCATTCTCTCTTCTTCAAATTCCAATTTAGCAAACAGAAGAGAATGAGTTAAGTGGAAGGCATTTCATCAACCAGGCCGACATCCAGAACTCAAGCTAATGTAAGCTGCCTGTCAGTCTATGAACTCAGGATGACGCTGATGAGGTTGTTTTTCTAACTATTCTCCCTATTGAGTCTTTGTCTAGCAATTTGTCGTATTTGCTCAATTTCATCATAAATGGATTAGCTGGAATTGGAAATGGAGAAAAAGCCTGGAATCAGTATGTAGTGTAAAGTTAGATATCTGTGTATTAAATATTTATTTATGTACCTTCAGATTTAAATGGAATTGAGAACTAATGTGTTCAGTCTCATTCACAACTTGATAAATGGGGGAGTCTAAACACTATTGTGTTTAATGCAGTTAGGTGTATTGCTTTTGTCCTCCAAATATTTTAGTATGAGTGGCAAATTACATGTATAATCTGCATTTTAGTAGGACATCTTGATAAAACTAAAAAGCAAGTAATTTAGTAGCAAATATAAATATGTTAGATGGTATTCTCGGATTGTGGCATTAAAAGGTTGCTGACTGTATGCCTTGGAGAAAGTAGGCGGTGTCTATCTTGCAATTGCTAAAAAGAATTGTTTTGAGTGATAAACGAATATTTCTTGAAAAAGCAATTTTTGAGTCACCTTTTGTAATTGGCATTGTTTATGTATACACACACACACACACACACACATCTTTGTTTGGCAGGCCAGAGTAGATTAAACCATTTATGGTGTGCATGAGTTGAGTATTGTTAAATTTTGTGTGTAACTCTTTAGCAATGTTTGTTAGAACTCAGAGTTCTCATGTTAATCATAACAAAAATGTGCTGACAAACTATACAAACCCCAGCCAACTATTTCCTCAGTCTTGATAGTATCTGGACTGGATCATACTGATCCATATAATTAGGTCAACTGAACAACCTCTTATGATAGGAGCTGACACTTGCTCTGAAAAGTAGTATAGCTTCTTTATGTCAGCCCTTCAAGGTAGGCTAGACTAAAAACCAAAGTTATGAATGATAATACTACTTTTATTATAAAATTACAGTAACAGAATCTTTGAAGTCTGAATTGCTTCCCCCTCCCTCCCTTTATCTTTGTGAGAACCAGGGAGGGTTATGTCTGAGATGTTTTCTCAAATTACATTTCTACCCTGGACTCAGATTTCTTTTATCTGACCCTTGTCTTGGTTGTGGCTCTTCCTCTTGCTCCTCAAGGTTATCCCTTCTGCCCATTATTCTTTAGCACAGTTTTGGCTTCATATAATAAATCTAGCTGGGAAGACCAAAATTTACCCATGCAGAAATAGTTTACTGCAAAGTATGTGTTGTATTTTTGTGAGTAGTGCTTCTTCTGATCTAGATTCACAAACACAGCAGAAAGTTCTACACCTGTTGTCCTGCTTCCCCCTCTTCAATTTGGATTCAAATTTATTCTTTTCAGAAAACAGGATTGCTGCTAAACATACAGTATACTCAGAAGTGGTGCAGGATGCTAATTGTTTGCATGTAGTTCAAAGCCAGGATTTAACCATGGTTTGTTAAACAAGAGTTAGTCTTACAGAGAGGAAAGTAAGCATAGTTTGTTATACCAGTGCTTGGGGGTTTTTTCCCCTCCTTTTCTTCTGCCAATGTTGATGAGAACTGTTTAACAGTTGATCAGCACATCCTCTGTGTACATGCATATAAATAAATAAATAAGTCAGTCAGTCAGTCAAATCTATACTGAAGTGGTTGGTTCTCAAAAGAATAATGAATGCATCATGTTGATTTAAGTTTGCTTCATAGGTTTTTGAACATTTCTAAGCAAGTTTCCAAAACTCTATAATTTGGTCCAAATGACATTCATGTTAAAACATTGTTTTTAAACTGCCTACTTAGTTTGAAGAGAAAGTAGCTGAGGAAGGGCTTAGCTATGAGCTACTTTCCACCTGCATATCCGTCTTCTGTACTCAAAAGTGCTGTTTGTTACATGTAGCAATTTTGGAGCAAATAGTTTTAGAAATGGTAGTTTCCAGAAAGCAATTAGTATCTGGATTAAGAATATACACATCTGTTTTAATGAAAGAGGACAACTAAGAATATGTAATTGGGCCATTGGTGGAAAGGACCTATCTCTGAATTAAATGGCAGGTTTTTGAGTAAGTATATTTAGGACTGAGTTATTATTTGTTAGACTTATATCTCAAGAAACTCAAGGCAGCATGCATAGCACTCTGTCCTCCAAAGTATCCACACAACCATACTCCTGTGAAGTACATTGGGCTGAGAGTGACTGGCCCACAGTCAGTCTGGAAGCTTCCATAGCCAAGGGTGGCTTTGAACCTGGTTGCCTCAGTCCAACATTTTGAATCCTACACCATATTATTAATTAACTTCACCCTTGACTTTTCTTGCCTAGTGATGAGGGTGGACTTCTCTCAAGGTTTTTGACATCTTTTTCATTATCTGCTGGCTGTGTGGGACATTGCAAATTTTAATTTTCCTATAGGCCTTAATATAATCAATTTTCCTCTTCTTTCTTTTTCCAGTGTTTGATTGTTGGAGGTGGTCCCTGCGGTTTGCGGACTGCCATAGAACTTGCCTTTCTTGGAGCCAAAGTCATTGTCGTAGAAAAGCGAGACACTTTTTCAAGAAACAATGTGCTTCACCTCTGGCCATTTACTATTCATGATCTTCGAAGTCTGGGAGCTAAAAAATTTTATGGGAAGTTTTGTGCTGGATCTATTGACCACATTAGTAAGTCACAATTACATAATTGTTTCTTTCTGAAAAGGAAAAAAGAGGCACATTATACGCAGATGTATGGTGAATATTCTTGTTTAGAAATATTAGCTGCAAGTTAATACACAGCTGCAAATATACAGTGTGTTAAATGGTTGAGGGCGTGCAGATTTGCAGCTCTTCCTGAGATGGTATAACATTTATTAGAATGGATTCAAATGCTGAAGCCAAGTTCCACTGCCGAAAAAGCCTGTGCCAGGTATTTTTGGAAGAAGATGAAATAAGTGCTTTAGTACCTAGAACATCCTACTCCTTCAGAGTTTGTGCCTCCTATCAATAATTTTACGTGTGTTTATCTAACCTGGATGCCAAAGTGTTCCTTTAAATGTTCATCAATATCAGTTGGCAGAAATTACATTTAGTGTTTATGTACAATTGCACATAGAAAAGGTTGACCTGCCTAGTTTTTATTTTAAAATTGTTTATGCCTGGAAATCCTTTTCTCCGAAGTTTTCATTTGGGCTGTGCTGATAATTTGAAGGATATTTCCTATGTTGCTTCTTACTGTGTACTCATTGTACTAGAAGGCTCAACACTTTTAGGTTATAAAATGGTACCTAATGGAGTGAGTATGCTTCAAAAGTAGTTCAGAAGAAGTACTTTAGGAAACATGAGAGCATGAGCATAGTATTTCTTTAAAGCAGCAGTGCCTTTTGCCAAGCTACTGAACCCATTGCCAAAGCACTTTCTGATGCTGGATAACTTAAATTGTATTTTTCAGTAAGACTTGGTGTATATGTCAGAGTTCAACTACAGCCTCCATTTATAATCTGGACTATTCATCATCAACTCAGGAATGGGATTCAACAAATAGGGGTAGATCCTTTCTTGACATTATAACGAAACATAAACTTTCTGGATATCTTATTATCTCAGTATTAAGTAAATTAGAAAATAACCAGAATGAAAATGCCTGGTAAATAATGCATAATCAAAACATTATCCATATCATTTCTCTTTTATAGGCATTAGGCAACTTCAGCTTATCCTCTTCAAGATTGCACTGCTGCTGGGAGTTGAAATCCATGTGAATTTAGAATTTGTGAAAGTTTTGGAACCTCCTGAAGATCAGGAAAATCAAAGTAAGTCTTGTTTCTTCTAAAGAAAGAATTACACAGAAAAAAATAATCAGTTTTTATTTTTGGTGCAACAGATTATATCTGACTAGGGGTGTGCAAAGCGTTGTGTACAGCTGGTCTGTGTCTAGACCAAAATGCATGTTTGGTTTGTATCTATAGTGAAATTTTGTATTCTGGGCAGATATGTTTATGGAGAAAGCCAAAGTCATTGATGTGCATGACCGCTAAGTGAAGGAAGTAGGGAAAGGAAGGTGCTGGAAAAGTCAGGTGGATGAAAGGGCTGGTTGGATAGCTGTCTCACTGACTTCAAGCACAGCACACACAACCAGCCTGCCTGTTCCCATCCTTCCAAGGTTTTCCTTCCCTGTTTCCCTTTAGCTGTCAATGCTGATGTCCTTAGCTTCAAATGCAGCATAAGGGGAGGAAGGGAAGAAAGTTCTGGCATAAGCAATGTAGACTAGGAAAAGAGAGTAGCCCGTAGGACCCTTCCAAATTTTGTCTCAACCAAATCCCCAAATAATGAAAACCTTCTGGATTTCTGTTGTTGAACTACAGTCTACCCACAGTTCAGCAGAACTTCTGAGACATTATGTGTTTGTTTTGGTTTGAAACAAAACTAATTTTCCATTGTGCATCTCAATATATGACCTGAATAAATGCATGCTTTTGTGTATTATACTTATTTTGACTAATGTTAATGTTAAGTTTTAGAGCAGATGTGATGCCGCATACCTTCTCTTGAACTAGAATAGCAGGACTGAGTCTGAAAGTTTTTTCCAAAGAGGTTAAGGATGGGATTGAGCGCAGAAGCTAATTAAATTCTCAGGAATCCTTATTTTTCCGAGTATGAAGGAAGTTTGGTAATAGCAACTAATTAAGTTGTGGTTCAGCATAAAAACCTAATGTTCTTGCTTGTAATGTTTGTTACACCATAGTATAATTTTGAGTATGATAAATACATTGGACTTGTAGGAACTCTCTCTAGATTCATGACCATATTTGTGTAAATTTTCTTGAAGTGTTGCTTGATATTGCTCTGTTTAACACAAATGTGGTATGGATGGACATATTCATCTATATTTAATCATTTATGGTGTCCATCCCATTTTTTTAGATTGTTTTAACTGTAAGAGAATTTGCAATAAATACATACAATTTTTCACAAATTACAAATATAGTATGTGTTTCTCCCATAAAACACACACTTTGTGTGCATTTTCTATAATGCATATTTTTAACAAGTTGAATCATTTAAAAAATGAAGTAGAAGAAGGTAGGGAAGTTTTTCCAGACTTTTCTTAACAAGACTTGCATTGCTCATGTGACTGACGTATGTTTGCTGGCCAACCTCTTGCTTTCAGAAATAGGTTGGCGGGCTGAATTTCTCCCAATGGATCATCCCTTATCAGAATTTGAATTTGATGTCATAATTGGAGCTGATGGCCGGAGAAATTCTTTGGAAGGTATGTTATAAATGGTATCAAAACACAACTGAGTAAGCATCTAAAATGGAAATAAAGAGCCTGCTCATTTCTTTCTTTATGATGAATGGTAAAGTAGATCAGACTTTTAAAAATTATTACATTTTTATCTTTTAAAAATGTGGGTGGCTATTAATATTAGTAACAGAAAGAGACATGCACTTTTTAATGGCAAACTAATGCAGAAATCTTCATTGTTCCATGCTGTGCTATTTGGATCACAATTCTGCAGGGGTACAAAATAAATATACACAATATTTGCTATATATTTAATGAATAATTACTTTAGGAAGCAATAACTTGACTTAAAAGATAGTCATTTTGGATTTGACAGAGAATAAGCAAATGGAAGGAAAAGAAGATTCTGTTGTACTAGCTGCAAAAATATTAAATATACAATATCCCAACTCTGAGCTGGCTTTTGTCAATGAGGCATTAGCTAAATAGCCCATGCTATGGCATATGACCCAACATCTTTATGCATATTCCTATTGGATTTTAATTAGAAGCACATTTAATTCTTTGAAAATATTGGATTTTGTATTAGCACTTTGAAACTTAATATTGCTACAGAGAGTTGTACTTACATAATCACAAACCAGTAGATTGGTTTAGCATGCTTTGCGTACGAGCAACAAATCTTTTCCTGCAGATTTCACCTTATATGCAGAAGATCCTCAATTTACTCCCTGACTGATAAATACTGTATTTGATCCCTGGCAACTCCAGGTAGGGCTGGGATGGAATTCTAATTGAAACTCCAGGAAGCCCATTCCAGTCAGTGTTTACAATAGTGAGTTAAATGGATCAGAAGCTAATTCAGTGAACTATAATCCTCTGTGTACATATTGTTTTATGCTCAGCTGATTGGGCTCTTGTATCATGTCTGAATTATAGGAGAAAAAATTCAATACATCTAGAGGGCAGTAGGAATGCTGGGGTTGGAAGGTACCAGAGGAATGTGGTAGAATAGTCACAAAGGTAACACCAAGAAAGTTCTTAGTAAAAAAAAAAAAAAAAGTAAATCTTTTAGGTGATATGTAAATATACAGTATGTTTGCACTGGATATGAAATAAGTAAAACTATCCAGTTTAAAAATGAAGAGGGACAGTTTTAAAAATCTGATTTGGGAAATAATATAGTTAAAGGAGGTATGGTTCAATTAACAGAGGACATAACAGAGAAATGTTAGGAGAGAGGAACAAACATTTGAGAGTTTTCATGCTCCAAATTAATTTGCAATCTTTGTGGTGATCTCCCCCTGACATCTTGTGAGAATGCCAAAATCTCACATGGGGGAAAAAAATGTAGGATTAATCAACTGATATGCATTGCTCTTGTTGTCTTTTCACTGTAAGGTTTTAAAAGGAAGGAATTTCGTGGAAAGCTGGCTATTGCCATTACTGCCAACTTTATTAATAAAAATACAACTGCAGAAGCCAAGGTGGAGGAGATTAGTGGTGTTGCTTTCATTTTCAATCAAAAATTCTTCCAAGATTTGAAAGAAGAAACCGGTGGGTAACCTCCTTTTAAGCATGGCAAAATAAAGCAAGTTGGGAACCAAATTGAGTAGCAGGTGTATAAAATTAGTGATGGCAGTTTTGTTCATTTTCTTTAAGACTTTGTTGTTCATTGGTTTACACAAAATCTATAATAGACAGCTTCACTCATCATGCTAAACCAAAAACAATCCAACCACATTATAATTTTGTGCGGTGGTGTGTAATTTTTTTCTAGGTTGAGGGTCACTCTATTTTTTGGATGTAGGCATATGGAGGATTAAGAACAAACTGATTTCACTTCATTTATATTTACATTTAATTAAATATAAATAGAAATTGAGTATGAATGCTGTCTAGTTAGGAATTTAATACTTTTCCCTTTCTCTTACAATAAAACTATGATTTGATAACAACTGTAGGCCTATGCAGATTGCTTGCAAGGCTTTCAAGGGTGCCTTCATGTATGGGCCACAAGTTATGGACCTCTGGCTGTAGCATTAGGTATGAACTAAGTCATAGTTATTTACAAGGTGATAGTCATTGCAATAAAAATAGCAAAATGTTTTATGACATATTACAATAGAATCTTCTCAGTCTTTATTTCTTCCTGTTACATTCTGTTCCAGAAATTTCCCAACACTTTGGATGCATACAGAGGAGAAATCTGATCCTCTGATACATGCTGTTTGTTGACAAATTTAATGCAATGTAATTTAAAAGTAGAATAGGATTTTAGACTATAAACATATATTCTTCAATGTGTTTAAGGTATTATATAATTCTGTTTTTACCATTAACATAATTTTAGAATTAAATGTATACTTGAGAATGTTGCAGTATGAATGAATTTAAATTCAAAATTTAGAAGGTAAAAAAATGGTTTGTCCAAATTTGTTGAATGTTAAAGTAGATAAATGAGAAATGTACACTGTTTTAGTGTACATGTTTTCATCCAAAAATATGTTTTGCTGCTCTATAGGAATTGACCTGGAAAATATTGTTTACTATAAAGATAGCACTCACTACTTTGTGATGACTGCAAAGAAACAGAGCCTTCTGGAGAAAGGGGTCATTATTAATGTAGGTATCCAATGATATTTTTTTTCTATGTATAATAGTATGCATTCTGATTTCTGAGCCTGGACAGAATCTTGAGATTACAGCATCTCTTTGTTTACACACTGCTGGCCAGATTCGTTGGGATGGCAATTTCCAGTTGCAGTCCCAACACATCTGAAGAACTACAACTTGAGAAAGGCTGAACTGCATTTTCAAAGTAGTCCCCAGGTTAAGAGTGCCCAGTTTATGGATGACCCATAGTTAAGAATGGAGCCTATTGTAGCAAAATTTGAGTTAAATACACAACGACTGGAGTTAAATACACAATGGTTCAAGTTAATTACACAATACTACTTATACAGTATTACACAATAAGACTGTTCCAACTTACATACAACTTCAATTTGGACAGACTTTGGGAATGGAACTCATTCTTAAACTGGGGACTACTTGTATAATAGGAAATTGCATTTAAGAGTTCAAGATCACTTCACTGAAGCTGAGTGTGCAAGAGGGAGAGGCATATGGAACATGCAGGCATAAGACTCATTGTAGCACTAATAGGCTAGGGCATGTACTGGATTAAAATGGTTATATCTCAGTTGGGCTACTTTATAAAGTCATAGAATTTGTATTTGTGCTATATTAAAAATAATGCCTGGGGGCTATGGGAGTTGAAGCCCAAATTTTCTGGAAGCATCTGATTGGGGAAGAGTGATATATGTTTTTGGGAACCGAGTTTTATGGCATAAAAATAAAAGTAATTTTTCTTTTTCAAACTCGAATTTAACTGAACTATTTCTCTATTTGCTGAATACAGGTTATATTGTTTCCCTTTTAAGGGAATTATATGTTGTCTAACTTCCTAATTCTTAAAAAGGAAACTTCAGTTTTAAAACAAAACCTTCATTTTGTTGTTTAGGTACATATATATTTGATTTAGATGCATTCAGTAGTACAGAGCAAATAAATTGCTATGTGTGTGCATACAAATCTGCATAGATAGAATATAGTATGTATATAACTTCAGCCTGTATTCTTATATAGAATTATCTGTTTTATGTAGCATCCATAGGAATATCTAAAGAACTCTAACAATAGACATCTGTGTTTTCATTTAGGATTTTATTGATACTGAAATGCTACTGTGTGTGGAAAATGTAGACCAAGACAATCTGCTGTCCTATGCAAGAGAAGCTGCTGACTTTGCAACTGATTACCAATTGCCTGCCTTAGATTTTGCAATTAATCACTATGGGCAACCAGATGTAGCCATGTTTGATTTTACTTCTATGTATGCCTCTGAAAATGCTGCATTAATACGTGAGAGGCATCGGCATCAACTGTTGGTTGCTCTTGTTGGAGACAGTTTAGTAGAGGTAGGGTGAAATACATGTTTGTTCAGGATATCCTTCAAAACTACTGTGATTTATTTGGTAATAATAGTTTTACGAACCATCACCTACTAAACACTACAATTCTGAGTGCTAAAGTACCATTTTCTAACTTAAAAAACCAGTATTTAGGCATGTTAATCAGTTGCTGTATTCTTTAGGGATCAAGTGGAGCAACACTGCCAGTAGAGCAAAACCTACAAACTGTTGGATTGCCTGTAGACTCCTAGATACCTTTGACCAAAAAGCTAGTGCTGCAAAAATTGAGTGACATTGAACATCGGTCTGAAGTCAGCTCACTCTCTCAGAGCTCTAGAATCCTACTAGATACAGGTTCCTGGGAACCAGCAAACTCTCTCTGCCTCTCAGTTGAGGAAAAGATTTTTCAGGGCTAAGCACAATTTACTCCCATTCGTGCTACTATATGGCAGGTATGAAAACATCCCTGTACTCCCATGTATGAGCCCTGCAACTCTGGGGAAATCAAAACGATCCAGCACATCTTTCTTTACTTTAACTTCTACTACGTGGACCTTTGAAACAACATTATAATTCCCCTTTACTACAAATGCCAAGGAGAATGGACAATTTCAATGCCTGCTATCTCTTTTCTGATTCAAATTGTGTCATTGTCCACATGGTAGCTAAATTTGTCCCTGCAGCAGTTAAAACTAGACAACAGCTTCAGACTCAACCTGATAACGCAAAGTCCTTGAACCATTTTATTTTTCTTTCCCTTCTCTTTCTCACTCTCCTCTTATATACCCTAAATTATTATTATAATAAGTAGCTACTAAGTAAGCATAGTCAATTATGCTCTAAGTATTCTAGGCAGAATTTTATTATTTTAGTCTATACTTCTGCATTTTATCACCATATTTTTATTTATCTAAATGTTTCAATATATTAGTATTTTAATACTTTACTAGACTGTCATTCAGCAGTATAGCGCTATACTTAACAGTTAAGCATTTTTTTTGCAATTCCTGCTCCCTTACATACTTTAAATGGAGTCTAGTACTCCAGCTCTCACCTGCTATTTTTTGCTTTTCCTCCTCTTTCTCCTCTCTCTTGTGTAAATTGCTTACCTACCTGTATCCCACTCCCCTTTCCCCCTCTGTAATATTGTTGCTGGATTGTACCTAGATCTGGTCATTGATTGTAATAAAGAATTTGAATTTGAATTATATTAGATGTTATCTAAAACAAAAATACGTTTCACAGCCATTCTGGCCAATGGGTACTGGTTGTGCAAGAGGATTCCTGGCTGCATTTGACACAGCATGGATGGTGAAAAGCTGGGCACAAGGAAAGTCCCCTCTTGATATCCTTGCAGAAAGGTAAGCTTATATGTGTTTGTCTTTATATACTAGAGGAATGAGCAAATCCTATTTTTCACAGAGCCTAAATTGTTCCCAGTTTGATCCAAGTGGGGATGAAGAATCTGTGGCCATCCAGATATCAAGTATTCCTTACTATTGGCCTTGATGGCTCCGTTGCTGTGAGCTACAGTGTATTTTAGCAGCATCTAAAGGGATGCAGATTACCTATTTATACCTTATTTGATAATGTTTCTATTACCTTATTCTTTTTTTATTACTTTGCTATCAATTTGTTTCCTTTTTGCTTCACTGTAGCCCATTCACAAGGAGAGGAGTAGAGCTGAGAGATTTTTAAAAAATTTTTGGGTGGATGTTGTTTGTGGTAGTGATGAAGTCAAGTGTCTGAATTTGGAAAAAGGTCACATAAGGGCTGAGAAAGCATGTTTGTGGGGAGCAAAACACAGCACAGGCATGCAAATGGAAACCTGACTGACTAATAATAATGGCTGTGAAGTCTATATCCACTGCTGTTTTGTGGCTAAAGGAGGAGTTGTTTCTTGTGCAAAAGAAAAATTAAAGCCAGATGATTTTGGATGATGTAATCTTACTTCTTTGTAGCTATTTTCTGCCTCAGGAAGACATACTTTTTTCTGTCTGAGTTCTCACCTTAAGCATTTTTCATACTTTGTCAAATTTAAATACATTGCCTAATTTCTAAATAGAGTTGGGTGCACATCAGGTAAGGAAAAAAACTGCATGGCTCTCAAAATCACACAGGCATACTTCTATTGCTGTCTTTCAGAGAAAGTATTTATAGACTCTTACCTCAGACAACACCTGAAAATATCACTAAGAATTTTGACCAGTACACTATTGACCCTGCCACACGATATCCAAACCTGAACTCAAGTTGTGTTCGGCCTCATCAGGTAAGCTGAGATATAAGCATGAGATATAAACAATACAACTCTTCATTCTCCAAGCAATACTGTGAAGGTTGATTTTGTTTTTCTTTTTAGAAAATTTCTGTTAAACTTTGACTTTCCACGAACATAGAGGTTGCATAGTTGACATATAAAATGTGAAAACGAATTCAAATTATCATGAAGAAAATGCAATCCTGCCTTATTTTCATGAATATCTTGGTAGTTTTACTTCCCATACGTGTTTATATGCAAGTTACTGTAGTGGTGTTTTACTGTGGTTTAATGTTTGTAAAATGCTTGGAATCTCGGCATGGGGTAGTATATAAATATAATAAAATATAAAATGGGGTCAGATTGACATTGCATATCCATTGTCAATTTAGATAATTGGGCAATAAATCAGGTTTGAGCAGTGAAGATTCTGAATTGAACAGATGATTATCTTTCTTCAGGTGAAACATTTATATATTACAAATGAGCTGCAGCCGTGTCTACTAGAAAGAGCAAATACCATTAGAAGATCAATTGGTCTTTCGAAACATGGTATGAAATGTGCTTCATTAGTATTCTTTTTTACACCATATACTGGAAGAGCTTGAAAGTTGTAAAGTTTTTACCATTTTTAAAAAAAGAACGTTAATTCTTTCAGAATATGACGTAAGACCCAACAAACTTTTAACCTGGTGTCAGAAACAGACCGAAGGATACAAGAACGTTAATGTCACAGATCTCACCAGTTCGTGGAAAAGTGGCCTTGCCTTATGTGCAGTTATGCATCACTTCAGACCTGACCTCATGTAAGTTTTTATATAAGTATGTAATGCTTGCTAATTGCCAGGTTCCTTATAAAAATATAGACTTGGATAAGGCCAATCAAAACAGTAAAGAGAGATTGTTTCTCTTTTTAACATCTATTTTGCAACTCTCTCCATGTTTTTGTTCAGATCCTGCCCCTCACTGCCTTTGGCTCCATACTAAAAATACAAGATTTACAGTTTCAAAGAACTCCTTGAGTTTCAACTATACTGTTTTTTGCTTATTTTAGAAGAAGTTGATATTTTTTTATGCTTTCTATATGTTAAGATTATGTTTGCAAACAGAAAGAATTATGGAGACATCAAAAGGGCTCATAACAGCATTCAGAATAGTTAATTATCAATTCTGAAATGTGTGTTAACTGGCCAGCTTGATATCAATAGCTATTAAATTGTAAAATAACTTAATTAGAATTATTGTAATTATTGTGTTTTTCTGAATTGTATCACATCTTGGTAAAGACATATGATGATTTAAATAGACTGCCTAAATAATCTGATACAATCATCCAGGACAGAACATCATCCATTTTAATAACCTTTTCTGAACTGCTTGGATACATGCTCACTTGAAAATGATGCCATGTGAAGTCCTTGGTGCTCTCTGAGCTTGGCTGTTTGCTTGTAGATGTTTCATTACCCAACTAGGAAACATCATCAGTGCAGATAAGTGGGGTTTGCATGATGTCATGCCGAGATTACTAGGAGATGGAGGTTCAGGAGGTTGACGTGGGTATACGGAGTTGACTGGTGTGTATAACAGTTGCTTCTCATGGATTTGGAGCTCTGTTCTGCACCATACATCGCTGAGAGTGGCAATTTATAATAACCCTTTATAGCTGACTAAAATATAGTAAATAAGAAAAGAACAAGGTAGTATTCATTAGTTATTCAGTTAGACATGGTATCATTCTTGATAAGACTGTTGGAAGTGGAAATGAGAGGAGGATATCTATCTTATTAGATTTGAAAAGGTGGGTATTTTTTCCCCTAAATTCATAGCAATTGTTATTTTTTTTTTTTTTT